ACCTGTCTTCAAGGTCTGAAATTCTATCTTCACTTTCATTAAGGCAGTTTTTACAACTTTCAGTGGAGTTTTTTATTTCCTATATATCTCTGTGCATCTGCATTATGTATTCTGTTTGTTTCTTATATTGCTCCTCTAGGGATTCTATCTTTTTGTTTAGTTCCTCCAATTTTTTATCTGTGTTTTCTTTAGATATATTCAGAATCTCTTTCATTTCTTTTATCATTTCTTCTTTTACCTGGGAGATTATTTCGAGTTTGAATTTCTTCAAAGCTTCCTGGAGTTGCTTGTTAATTTCAGTAGCTATTGTGCCCGATATTTGAGGTGAATGGCATATATTTTCTTCTATATACATTGCTTCTAGGGTTTCATGAGATGGGCTGGAGGTTTGAGGTTGTAATTTGGTCTTTCGTTTTGTCATTTTCCTATATTTCTGTGTTTCAAGTGTTATTTGAAAGCTTCCTCAGGATCTGTTGGAAATCCCCTTCTATGTTTGCAGCTCCTGAGACTCTGGCACCACGCTACCCCAAGCCACTGGGCCTGCAGAACCAATGGCCCTCCTCTGCCTGCTCAGAACTCCGCAGTTCCAGACAAGCTGGGCCTCAGGGACACCGTGCACTCACTTGCCCGTTGGAAGCTCCACAGCTCTCCAATTGCAGCCGAGATGTGAAGGCAGATGTAGACACCTCTAACCCACCTCTCCACTTCAGTGCACCTGGAAGCCTGGAGGGACCCAAACAGTCTGGGCTCTGGGCAGAGTGCACTGAGCACTCACCACAGACTGCAGGGCCTCCGGAACCCGTGATGCTCCACTGCCCACCGAGACATCCACAGTCCTCCAGACACACGGGGAGGCCGATGCAGGCACCCCAGATCTGCCCAGCCCCTCCTCTGCACACCGATGGCTAGGCACGGCTTCTTTTATGTTCTTAATTCTTAAGTTATAGATCCTGTTGTCATCTTCTAGTCTTTGTATTATTGCTGTTTGTTTTCTTGTTATTTTTAAGAAGTTTTTCATTTCATGCTCCCACCTTACAAATCTGTCCTCCAGTTCTGATAATCTATCCTTAGTTTCTTTCAAGCTGTTATGCCAGCTTTCAATAGAGTTTTTAGTTTCCTGGTAATCTCTGTGAACCTGCTTCACGTATTCTATGTTTTCTCTATTTTCTCCATCAAACAATTTTCCCCTTTTTTTCTGTTCTTCCATTCCACCATCTGTTTTTTCTTGGGCGGTGCTTAGCATTTCTCCTACTATTCTACTTATTTCTTGCTTTATTTCATTAAATACTTCATTTTTGATCTTGTCTATGAGGCTCCGGAGATACCGTTTTATATCTATAGGTGCCGTGTCTGATATTGCATGTTTTCTGTCTTCATTCTCTTTTGCTTTTACCTTTCCTGGATCAGTGTTCTCAGGATTGGGGACTGAGGAGCCTTTCTTGTTGCTCCCTTTTCCCATACTTTTTGTTCCTTCCATACAGGCGTATGTAGGAGGCTCAGTTTTTTTTTTTTCTCTTTGTCTGTTGCAGTTTGTTTGAATCTGCCGGCTAGGTGTTCCTGCCCACTGCAGTGTACTAGGGAGACACAGACCTGGGCAGCCTCTGCTGGGCCCGCCCCTCCAGGTCAGCCTACTGAATGTTTCACTGCTAGGGTGCACCGCCAGGCACAGGGACCTGATTTGGGCTAGCCTACAGGATCTTAGTCCGCAGCGTCACCAGGCCAAGTGCTCCCCACCACTCCTGCTTGAGAGGGGAATATGCGACTAAAGTCACTGCTGGGCTGTGTTCCGGCTAGTCTGCCCGTTCCCAGAATGTCCTTTGTTGGAGCCTCCTAGTCTATTGAAAGAGTCTCCATTTCACTCACTGTAGGTCGAGCCAGTCCCGCTCTCAACGCTGTTTGGGCTGATTCCTGCTCTCAGAGCTTTCGCATGTCTCTCTCTCTGCTGTGCGGGTTGGGGCACAGTATCTGCAGCAGGAAATTCAAATCGCGGCTTCCAGTGGCGCAGGATCCAGCTTCTGCACTGAGATTTTATTTGTTCCTGTTATAGCATCAGGATTGCATTTCCAGTTGGTTTCTCTCAGCTTACTTTGTTCCTGGGTCGGCAAGGTACATCTCCCCTTGCGTAGGACTCCTCACACAGCACCGCTCCTGGATTCTAAGTTGGTGTCTCCATCAGTTTTGAAAGATAGGGGCTGGGGATTTAGCTCAATGGCATAAGCGCCTGCCTTGCAAGCAGGCAGTTGTGAGTTCGATCCCTGGTACCAAAAAAACGAAAAAGACCAAAAAAAAAAAAAAAAATAGTTTTGCAGGGTACATCAGTCTGGGTTGAAGGTTGTTTTCCTTTATAACTTGAAAATCTTTACTCCAAGCTCTCCTTGATTTGAGGTTCTGTCCTGAGAAGTCAGCTGTGATTCTGAAGAAGTTATTCTTCTCTGCCTCATCTGACAACTGCTGGATTGCTTTTTCATGGTTCCTTGCTATTTTTGAGAAATATTTTCTTTTTGTGGTCACTAACTGCAAGCCTGTCTTACATATCTGAGAGTCTGTCCTCACATTTGCTTCATCTGCTGTGCATACTTTCAATGGAAATTTTATTCTCCTGGATATCTGCTTGAATCTACCTTATGGATTCCATTTCTTTCCTTTGCTGGGCATTGATGGCTTCCATAATTTTCATAAGTGTATTTATTTTTGGTGTATATCTGCTCTGGAGTCACTGAGCATGGTCTTCATTGTGGACACCATCCCTTCAGTTATTTGAGAAGTCATTTCCGATTCGATTTTTTCCAGCACCTCACTGACTTGCTTTGTTGTTAGCACTTCAGGGATGCCAGTTGGGAGGCTTTCAGATTGTTCCACCTCATTGCTTCGTTCGGTGCACTGGAAGTCAGGGGTCACATCTTGTTTAAGTGTCTTCTCATTTTTTAGTTTAATTCCTGGGATGATGCTTGTAAACTGCTTGCGGTGTGTTGATTTACTCTTAGGTAATAATTGCTTTTCTAAGGAATCTTCCAGGTGTAGCTAGTTTTGTGTTTTGAGTCTGTTGGAAGATCCTACCTCTTTGATTTGATGAGAAGCTCCTGCTTGTTTGGCCCAATCCCTGATCCTTTGGCTCTGTATCACAGTATTTTCTGTGATCCTTAGTCAATCTCCGTAATGGAACACCAGGAAGAAGAGCTGTTAAGGAAAATTATATCAGTTTCACCCACAGTGGTAGTATTAGCATTAAACATAGCCTAGAAAATGACAAACGGAGCTAACCAATTTGCCACTTTCAACCATTAATTTGAACTTGATTTGTGGTTATATAACATTATCTAAAACAAACCAGAAATTTGTATGCAATTTACAAGTCCTTAATATGTCAATTTTGCCCTCAGGGGTTAAAATTTAAAATGATTTAAGGAGACAATAGAGAAGTGGAATAAGAGGAAGAGAGTAGAAGTAGGGTTAGAGGACAGAGCGGGATCTAGCTAACTTTGGGAAACTAGTGCAGAAAACTGGAGGGAAAGAGAAAATGTAGAGATAACAAGAAGAACAGAACCATAACCACAAAGAGGACAGAAACCACATTTACACTTATATAAAACAAGATCACCAATGAACAAGAAAAATGGCAGAAAACAAAAACAGAAGCACAATAACAACTACTTTTCAGAGATAATCTGAAACAGAGAGAGAGAGAAAAGAGAGAGAAAGAAAAGAGAGAGAGAAAAAAGAAAAGAGTCTGCTTCCAGGTTTGTCTCTTCTGTCAGTGGTAGACAACTTGTGGAGACAGAGTCTGGATCCATCCTGATCTATGCTGATCTGTCCAGCAAGCCTGCGGTAGCTTTCTGGTGGGGTAATGGATAATCTCAGTGAGCCTGCACTTTCGGGCCGAGACCAGACTCCTTTGGCCTGCAGCCGCCTAGACACCTTCTGCAGTCCTGAGCCTAGCTGGCAACTGCCAGATGGAGCTGGCAGCAGCTCTGAATTCTGAGCTCAGTTGGCTCCTCTCCTAGATGATTCCTGGCTAATCTGTCTCTCAGGAATGACTGAGCCCTCAGCACTCACTGTCAACTAGTGCAGTCTTTCATGTTTGCTGTTCCCCTCCACTGCTGCGTCTCTCGGTGGAGGTGTCCAGGGTCACCAGCCATCATCGTGCATCCACAAGTTTGAAGCACTCTTCTTACACAGGGAGAAGACACTGCTGGCTACCTCCTTCTGCTTTGTTAAAGTTTCTCTCTTAGCTCTCCGTGGGCTTCAATTCATGCTTCAGATTCTTCTTGGTTCCAGGGGACCCACTTCCCTCCTTCTTGTCTTCCTCATGATTCTATATTCCAATGTCTGGCTGGGAACTCTCAGAGAGGCTTCTTCTCTGTAGCTTTCCACTCCTCCATCTTGGTGCTCCCCCTCACCATCATAAGACTTTTAAGCATCTTTTTCACTTTTTGTGTCTTTCCCTGACACCTCCTACTAAAACATAAACTCCTTGAAAGCAGAAACCATATTTGATGCATTTTCACCAAGTATGCATAATAAACTTTTTGATTAAATAAATGTCTTTGAAGTTCTGTCAGCTCTAAGAATACAATAAAGAACACCATTCCCCCACAGAAACTATCTTTAACATTATCTTTGCCAGTGAGCCCTTTGCTTCTTGCCTCGAGAGTTCTGAGCTGTAGCTATGGAGTGACTTTCTCTCTGAACTAGGACCTGGGTGGCCCCACAGTTAATATGCTAAGTATCTACAGGTAATATATTTGAATTTCACAGTGTGGATAGCAGTTCTTTTGCTATGAAATCAGAAACAGGGTACCAGGGTGTACTGATCTTCCTGTGAAACCTTTAGTTCATTTCCTTCTATGAGTCTCAGTTTTTACATCAGGTAGGTTGGACCAAATGAATGAAATATTTCTCTGGCTGCTGTGCACTTTGCTGGAAGTCCTGGTGTTGGGGTGGGACAGAGCAAGGCTGTGGGGTTCACCATATTTTTCTGCATTTGATCATCTAATTGCCAGATTCGGGAGCACTATAAGCAGCGGCTGGATGAGGTTGAGATGTTGGAGAGACATATTACTCAGGCCCGTGCACGGGCCCTTGCTGAAACAGAGCGAGCCTTCAACCTGGTCCAAACTCATGTGCTGGAGACCTCCACCCAGTTGCCTGCAGGTGTGTATTTAAAAAATGCCTGTATGCCTGTTTCTGCTTTCCTGCCTATTAATAAGTTGCTATATTCACTCTACTGCCAATTCTCTTTTTCTCAACATTGGGTAAGCAAGTTGCAGACTTATGTTTCATGACCCCAAAGCACTCACTCCAGTGTGCACAGTATCTTTAGAACAGCAACAGTCTCCTGAGTAAGCAACTTCCAATCCTCCAATCCAGGGAATCAGCGCTGGTGTGACACTGGTTTCCCACTCACGAGGACCATTGCTCTTTCTGCTCTCGGGTCTAAGACAGCGATCCAGGTTGTCATGTGACGGACAGCTGACACATCTTTTTCTCTGACTCCTTCAGTTGTAGAACTTCCTTGATATTGTCTTGTCTTTCATGTTTTTGATCATTCTGGAAGGCCTTTCACTTTGTAGCATGGTTCTGTCTAATGCTGCCCCATGATGAGACCCAGGCTCTGCATGCTAGGCAGCAGCACCCCATAAATTATGCTGAACTCATATCACTGTGGTACATTGGGGGCACAGATGATGCTAATTTCCATCACCTGGGTAGTTGATACCTGCCAGACTTCTCGACAGTGTTTCAGATCACACTAATACCTTGTTCCTGATAAAAGTTCCATCATCGAGCCACCAACATTCACGGGAAATTCTTTTCATTACCTCAATGGTGATATTTAATCAATTGATTTGTTGAAAAAATTGGGTTGTTTTTCCTGTAGTCCAGCTTTAACTTATTTCAGCATGATAGTGTGGTTGAACTTGTTCTTATAACCCCTGTATTTTTTGTACAGTGGTACCTTAGTTCACAAACTTAATTTGTTAAAAAGCTGGCCATGTTTGTGTTTGTATGGGAAAGATGGCCATGGTCGTGTTTGTCACCTAATGCAGAGTTTGCAAAAAGAAAAAACAAGTCCTGCCAAATGCTACTTTTTGTAAACCAAATTGTTTGATAACAAAAACATTTGTGAACTGAGGTATCATTGTACATTGATAATTAGTTTTAGGGACTTTATTGAGTTTATGTTCAGCCTTTGTGTGTGTGTATGGCAAGAGAGGCAAGACCACTTCATAGGTGGTGCTGTATGCTCCTCTGCAGGTACATGAGAACTGGTGGTTTCTTTAGGTGATACTGACAGCCTGTTTAATTTTTAGGGGCTGTAAACTGTAATGAAATGCAAATAGTAATGGTAGCTCTATCATTCATTTTTGTCAGCTGAAATACTTAAGAGAAACTTTTCAGCAGCTTGTCTGATTGCCCTCGGGTATGGGAAGAATTTTTTCTTTCCCTTTATTTGCCAGTGTTAAAGTAGTGACTTGGTTCCTCCTCTTCCATAGGTGACAAAGGAGGTTTGTTTAGTTGTTTTAGTGTCTTTATGAGCACCTGGATGTCATAACTACAATTCTGTTATTGCCTTTACTGATGCTTAAATTGTCCTATCATTGGCCAGTCTTTTTAAATTGACGTTTGACTCTCGATAGCTGTCTTGAAACTTCCTTGCTTTTTTGAAAACAAAGTCATTGCAGGCTCGTCTTGTGTATCCCTGGCCTAGAATCAGCCATTTCTTCAAGAAGCTTTGATTTCTCCACTTCTTCCAGAGTATTTAATATGTTTGTGGAACATATTAAAACAAATAATCATTTTCTATTACAGTAGGCAGAAAGTAACACAATTATGGTTATGTTGCCTGTCGTATTTGTGACCCTACAGGAGAGGACCTAGAGACAGGGAGAAGCAGATGATACAATGTCTTCAATGTCTTTCAAAGTTTTTTTGGGGGGGTGGCGGGGGACAGGTCTCACTGTGCAGTCTAGGCCAGCCTTGAACTCACTGTGTAGCTGGGGCTGGCCTTGAACTTGCCGTCCTCTTTCTACTGTCTTCTGAGTGCTAGAAAGGCATCGATACTCACAGAGGCCTACTAGGGACCAGATACATGCTGGATTAAGTACTTCACAAAGGTTATTCCACTGACTCCTTTCTATAACCTTTGTGGTAGATTTTCTCTTCATTTTACGGGGGGCAGGAACTAAAATAAACCTAGAGGAATGTTTAAATAACTTCTGCAACATGCAACAGCTTATAAGGGTAGGACCCAGATTTCAAGGTGGCTAGCTCTAGTCGTGGCCTGTCTCTTTTTTCTGTCAGAAGAACTGTTGACCTGTGAGTTGTATTGATGACTCCCTTAGACCGTGGCTCTGAGCTTGAGGCTCTGTGCTTTGTTAGGCCTGTGACTTCCTAGGCTGAGATCCAGTTAGAAATGAACACATGGTGCAGATTCCACATCTGCACCTCTGCGCTAGGGCTGGGGTTAACTCCCCAGAACTCCTCTGTCAACTGTGGTCCTTCCCGTATCAGATAGTATAGATTTCAGCAGAGATTATGACTAGCATATTCTCAAGTGGCTTCATCGATTGCTTCATGTCCCCTGAGTCCTGGGAGTCAAATACTATTCTGTCTTTGGTAGGATTTTGTTTTCCTAGAGATCAGGGGAGATAAATAGTTAACAGTGTTTTATTGTTGTTTTTTAATGAAAGTGAAATAAAATAGTAAGATCTGGGAAACAAACATGAGTTAGGAGAGGTGTTTTTTTTTTTAATTTAATGAAATTTGTTTTACTTTTTACCCCAGGTAATGTTAAGTTATGATCTGATGTAACTGCCTGGTTTCTCATCCTGCTGTTTCTGTGTCCTTCTCTTTTTTCACGTGGCAGAAGTAGAGGCTTCCATCCAGCTCCACAGACACCTGTGTGGTCCTTGCTTGTCAGCACAGGGTGAGGTGACCCCAGGACCTCTTTTATAACTCAGATAACTGATAACTAAGAGTGAGGATGTTTGCCTAAAGCTTTGATTATTTGAGGCACAAGGCAGCATTTTTTCTGTTTGCTAATACAAATGTCACAAGGTGGAAAGCATTCATGAATTTTCCAATCAGGAAAAAAGTGTTTTTATTCCTGCCTCTTGCTGGTAACTTGTCCCTGTTGCTTTTTTGGACAATGAAAGCAGCCAGTCCCTTGCAGAGCCCTGCTTAGGGGCTATGGTGTCAATGTACACTCCTCCCAGGAGGAGGAAAATAATCACAAGGCCAGTACAATGAGTGTTCTGTAGGTGCAGGAGTGATGTGGAAAGACATTCCCCAAAGATCTGATATGCCATGGCTCCAGCTCCTGCACACATACCTCCTGACCACCCCAGCCTGGGGGAGGACTGTGGAGAGAATTGTATCAGAAGAGAGAGGATACATTTTGCCACAGGGCCTTTGCTCTTATCATTGGATATTTCATGTAAGCCATCAACAAAGTCCTTGGGGACTGGGTTAGATTGTTTCAACTTAGCATTACTGCCACTCTCTGCCAAGGTCTCTTTTGCAAAGGAGAGGTCAAGAGCTCCATTTCCTGAAGGGAATCACTTCTCCATTGTGGTTCCAAGAGACATTTGATGAAGAGAGGTCCAGAGTAAATTACTTACAGTGATCCTACTCAGCCTCTCAAGTGCTGGGATTACAGGCATGTGCCACCATGCCTGGCATTGTGCCTGTCAGTTTTAAAGCAAATAACTTTCTGAGAAACTCCTGCTTCAGTGCTGTTAACTGCCACTGTTAACCATGTTTCCCCAGGACTTTTCTCCTTTAGTCTATAATCCCCTGTATTAAAATCCTTTCTATTTAGGGGCTGGGGATTTAGCTCAGCGGCATAAGTGCCTGCCTTGCAAGCAGGCAGTCGTGAGTTCAATCCCTGGTACCGATAAAAATGAAAAAGACAAAAAAAAAATCCTTTCTATTTGAGATGTATGAAGTGGCTTATGATTTCCTGACTATTATAGTAGCTAAGCCAAAACTCAAGGGGTCAGTTAGCATGCACAAAGGTGGAAACAGACACTCTTCACTTGTCTCCTCTTCCTCCTTGGATGTCAGTAATGGGAATGTACCTATGGAGGTGGGGGACAACATGCACAATCTCTGTACCTTTCTCACAATTTTGCCGATCACTTATAATTGCTGTTTTAATAAAAAAATTTCATTTCACCACTCTCAGACTCAAGTCTACTTGCCAAAGGTTGCCATTCCTAGTTTTCATTCTTCTGGATACCTCTACTGATATTATTTATATAGTATATAAATAATACACCTTTACTGCTATTTCTTGGCTCACCAATCATAGCCATTATCAACTTCCTACTCTATGAAATGAGGTTTTCTCTCTTATGTATCTTTTTAAATTTTTTTTGGTACCGGGGATGGAACTCATGACTGCGTACTTTCAAGGCAGGTGCTTATGCTGCTGAGCTAAATCCCCAGCCCTTCTTATATATCTTTAGTCTGGTGAGATTGGCTCTAACTGGGCTTCATTGACTTTGAGCTGTAGGTTCTGCTGAGCTAGGCTCCTTGTTGTAGGTTGGCCTCAGCTCTTCTTCACATGGCTTTATGCTGGTATCCAAGATGAGATGGCAAGGAGGCTCTTCTCTGGTGATGGCCAAAGTACAAGAGGGAAAGGTCACTGTATAAGCACATTTCAAATCCTGCTGACACATCAGCAGGAGTCAAAGTCAAAGGTGAAGAAGTGTAGTCTGTCTCTAATGGGACTGAAATGTCATATTTCAAGAACTTGTGTTCAGGGACAGTGAAGAATTGGGGTATTCCAGCTACCTTATGTCTCTTAGTTCTGTTTTGTTATAGTTCTTCCTGTGCAGCACAATATTTTAGCTCAAGTAATACCCAAACATAGCCCAGTGGCTAGCCTCTTTTAAGTGACTGATAAACACTGTTTAATTCCTTAAATCTCAGCCCTACTACAGGGTTTTGACAAGGAATTTCCTTAGATTGTCTAGGCTTGGAGGATGAAGAAAGTTTAGGTGCAGCTTCTGCCATGTCAATCTAGCTTGAAATGCTTTTGTCCTCTTTCCCCTCTATGTAGTGAAGACTGTCTTCAGGTGGTTTATAGACAGCGAATTGCTACAGAAGCATCATTTGATCTGCCCAGAAGATTACTACAGCGATACAGTACCATTTTGCTCTGCACCCAAAGGTAATGTGTTGATACCCTCAGAGCCCAGATATTGTGCCAGGGAAATTTACATGGTAGCAGGGTCTCAGCAGCCACCTTTACTGCCATTTGCTTGTCCTTAGAGTTTTCCCTCTTTTTCTTTAATCTTTATATGGCAATTGAGTGGGTCACATCTGATGTATCACTTCCTTGCTAGCTTTTCTCATACCCTCAAGACAGAAATTCCAACTCTTCCAAGTGGAATATGGTGTTCCTGTTAGCTGCCCAACACCCTGAGATCTGAAGAAGAGGGACTGGAAACAGAAGAGTAGGGGGTGGAGGTGGAACATGGAGAGGGCTTCTCTGTACCGGAAAAGAAGCTTTTCTTCCACTGAAAATGGAGGGAAGGATGAATTAGGAAGCAGAGAAGGTGTATGTGTGTGTGTATGTGTGTGTGTTAATGGGCCAGTTTCTGGTGATCAGAGAGGCCAGATCTTCTGAGAATAAGTGAGGTTGGAGGCTGTTTGGTGGTTTAAGCAAGGAAGTAGATTTTGGAAGAGTTACTGTGTGGATGGAGAAAAGTCACTGGGTCCTGCTGTAAAGCATCGCGGTGACCTAGTGATGCCCAGCTTGAAAAACAAGCAGGTTCGAAGGATAAGCACACTCGAAAGACAACAGACTCAGTGGCATTGTTCATTGAACTCAGGAGCTTTGGAGCTAGCTAGAAAGCATGTGGGGTGAGAAGGTCGGAACTCAGATAATTGAGAAAAGTGCAAAGGAAGTGACAGAATCAAGTGTTTGGGATACGGAATCAGTTAGCAGTTTACAGTTAGTTGGGCACTCACTATTTAATGTTGGTAAATGGAGATGGACCCAGCATGTACTAAGGACTTAACAGATGCTGTGCTAAAAAGTGTGTGTGGGTACCAGTTTCATTACGTTCTTGCTAGCAGTGTTTTTTTCTCATTTAGGCTTGAGGGTTTACATCTGTAGTGTGTGTATATAGAAATGGTCTGCTTATGTTATTTACTTATTTTTTGTCTTTTTGAGACAGAGTCTCACTATGAAGTTCAGGCTGGCCTTGAGCCCACATTGTAGCCCAGGCTGATTTCAAATTTGCAACATACTCCTGCCTCAGCCTCCACAGTGCTGGGATTACAAGAATGTACTACCCTGCCTGGCTCATGTTCTTTGATTATGTTAGAAAATTGAAAGATATTTTAATCCTTTAATCCTAGGTCTCAAATGCATGGATTAAGTTCTAGTATTAACTCATATTCTGAAGAGCAATTACATCTGGTCTAGTAAATTGTGAGAGCTTATTATTATTATTGTCTTTTTTTTTTTTTTGAGACAGAGTTTTGCTATGGAGTTCAGACTGGCATGAACTTATTTTGTAGCCCAGGCTGACCTTGTACTCATAAGTGATCCTCCTGCCTCAGCCTCCCAAGTTCTGGGATTACAGGTGCTGAGATTACAGCTAATTATGAGCGTTTAGTCTAACATTATAGGTAGATTGTAGCTTTGGTGGTTTTATTTGGTTCACTGCCCTATTTTATTACTGTTGCTCAATTTGTTTCCTTGGTACCATAGGCACCTTCCACCCTCGATATTCAAAGTTGACATTCAGTTGTGAGAAGCGTGCCATCCCAAAGGCAGAGCTGGACAAGAAGCTTGCAGTGTCCTGCAGGGAGAAACTTCCTGCATTTGAAGATGACTTTGACCATACTGTGGACAGCCTGACATGGGACTCAACTCCTGCAGCTAAACAAAGAGCCAGAGAAGCTATCAAGGTTGGTTCTGAGGCCTGTGCACAGCACTGTGTGTGCACTGGGGATGGGAAGTGATATGGAAGGAGTTTTGGACAAACATTTTGACACAAAATGTTGTAATGAGTATCCGTCAAAATAGGGCTTCCACTGTCTGGCTGTCTGTGGGTGATGCAGTTGGCATCACAGGATGTCACAGATACAGTTGCTTGCCTGTCACTGATTATGTTTTTATGTGTTTAAAAGAAACCAAGTCCACCAAAGAATAAAAAATGGATGAACCACTTACGAGTGTCACAGAGAGAACTGGATCGACGTCAGCTTGCTAGAATGGAGAGTCGCAACCACTTCTTAAAAAACCCTCGTTTTTTACCTCCTAACACTGCACATGGAGGCAGATCTCTTATTTTTCCTCCAAAGAAGCCAGAACTTACAGGAGAATTTCCAAATGGAGAGCCAGAACAGAGGTATGTTTTTCCTGATTTACACGCTCAGAAAATCAGACCCTTTCTAGTAAAACTCAGAAGGCCCTGAGCCGGCTCTGCTTATGGAGGCTCCTAGGTGTTTTTTCTTTTCCCTTTTGTAATTCTGGAGATGTAACCCTGGGCCTTCACATAGAGTTACATGCCCAGCACCCCTTTTTTGTTTTGAGACAGGATCTCTGTAAGTCACTAAGTTGCCCAGGTTGGGCTTGAACTTGTGATTTTCCTGCCTTGTCCTCCCAGGGGGCTGGGATTGCAGGTGTGTTCCACATGTTCACCCAGGACCCTAGATTTTTATTGGTGATGAGAGGGGGCAGGGTAGCAGTATCAGACCTGATCATCAGGTCACCTATGGATGTGGCCTTTAGACATTCCCTAGGGTCCTGGACTGCACGCTTTTCTGTTCTTTTAAGATCAGAAATAGGGGAAAAGAAAAATAGGAGTTGAAATTGGCCCTTTTTGTGACATCTGAACAATCTGAGTCAAATGGAAGAATCTTTTATAGAGTACATGGTTATACCGTGTTCTTCTTCCATGAGATTATTATGTCTTGGATAGTAGCAATGTTTAAAATTTGATTAGTCACAAATAATTAGGGTCAATTATTTTTAAAAAGAGAGTGCCTTTGGATGTATTTTTATAATTGTCCTGATAAAGAGAATGAGTTGCTTCATGGGCTTGTAATTTTAATGGATTATTAATGTTTCTTTACTAGACATTTGATACATTTTTATAAAGACTTAATATATGAAAATAAAGTTATATTAAAGCCCACCTAACATACTCATGTTTAAGCTTCTAGAGTTTTTCCTATGTGTATAGGAAATTATATATTTATATACATACAGTTTCACAAAGATTGGATCATGGTTTAGGATTGTTTTGCTTAAACAATATGAGTGGAAAAGCTCCAGTGAATGTCGTATTGTGGCTGTCTTTGATGGCTTGGATGTTTATTTTTGCATTATTTCATCACTGCACAGTATTGTTGTGTAGCTGAAACTCACAGTCTTTTCCTCCTCTCTTTCTTCCCACAGTTGTGCAAATACTCCTGTGTTCCTACCCAAGCCATCAATTGTGTTTTTCACAGATTATGAGGTTGGACTAGTTTATGAGGTATAAATTTTGATTCATTAAAGATCTTATCCAATGTCCTTTCTTATTTTAAAAAAAATCTTTTTTTTTTCTTTTTCGTTTTTTTTTATCGGTACCAGGGATCGAACTCACAACTGCCTGCTTGTAAGGCAGGCGCTTATGCCGCTGAGCTAAATCCCCAGCCCCCAAAAATCTTTATTAATTTTGAGCCATATACAAAACTAGGGAAAAGATGGTAATAAACTCTCATAACCCCATTACCCAGCATCAGCAGTGTCCTGCATTCTGCAAATCTGGTTTCACCTATTACCACTTCCACAGCTTCTGTGTGTGTGTGGCCCATTTGTGAGCTGGGGTGTTGTAAGGGCGCATCGCCATAGCGTGCCATCCTTGAGTTAGCACTCACACAAACATCTCTTAAGAGTTAAGGCCTTAAAAAAAAAAACAACCATAATACCATACTTACACTCAGGGATGTGAACAGTGATTCACTAATGCCAACTAATATGTAACTATGTCTGATTTTCCTCCATTTGATTAATAAAATGGATTTATGTGAGTCAGAATCTAACATTGCATCTGAGTAAAAATATCCCTTTATTCTCCCATGGTTGAGAACGGTTCCTCCTCCACCTTCTGCTTTTTAAAAATGCTATTTACTTGATGAAGGAACTGTAATTTCTTGCATCCTGGATTTGGCTAATTGCTTTCTTGTAATAGTAAACATCGTCCTTTATGTTCCACATCACCCATAACCTGGTAATTAGATGGAGAAGTTTGGTTAGACTCAGGTTCAGTTCTTCTTTTCCTTCTTTCCCTTCTCCTTCCCTCCTTCCTTCCTCTGTGGGTCCCTCCCTCCCTCCTTTCTTTCCTACTTTCCTTTACTTTGGGCTGAGGTTCTCATTTGGGCTGAGGCTGGATTTGACTTCTGGGCTCAAGCAATGTTCTTGCCGCTGTGTCTTGAGTAACTGGGACTATAACTGCACCATTGCACTGGGCTTCACGTTTTTTCTTTTTGTCAGAAGTACATCTTCGTGGCACTGATTATTTCTTACTGTACTATATTAGGGGAAAGCATATCTGGGCTTTCTAGTACATGTGATGAATACCCGCAGGTGTTGTTAGCTTGAATTATCTTTTTTAAGGTTCTTATCAACATTTCATTTAATGTGTAGCAGTCTTAGATGATTGTTGCTTATAACTATTTTTTAAAATTTGGAGGTTGCAAATGGTATTTCTAGTATTTCATCTACATTTATTAGCTGTGATTTTCTTTTTTTTTTTTTTTGTCTTTTTCATTTTCATCGGTACCAGGGATCGAACTCACGACTGCCTGCTTGCAAGGCAGGCGCTTATGCCGCTGAGCTAAATCCCCAGCCCCTAGCTGTGATTTTCTATTTAAAAAAAAACTTTTCCTCAAATGCCTCCTCTTGTCTCCTTTTCCCTTTACATAGTAGTTTATCATTTTGATTCTTCCTTTTTCTCCCTTTTGGAGCCATAATCATATATTAATATCATCCCTCCTTACTTTCTTCTGCCTCTTAAAGAGTATATACAGAGGTTTCTCCAAGAGTGATTTCCTTAAGCCTTTCCCCAGCTTTTTTCTTATACTGGCTTCCCACCATCGTGGGGAATCAGGTGAAGATCAATTTTAACAGCCGTAATGGCAAATGGATTTAATAACAGCATTGTCCTCACATAACACACACATACTTACACACACACACACACACACACACACACACACACACACACACAGGTGGATTGTGCTTTACACTGTCAAGAGAGCATGTGTATACATAATATTTTGAAACCTCTCAGTTACACATAGCAAAAGCAGACATATGTGTTAGTTCTAGATCCTGGACATGAAAGAAAATACTTTGTTTGTTCTTTGAATTTAACAGTATCTTGTGGTGCTGGAAGGCAGGAAGTACTAACGAAAAGAGGTGGATGGTTGGGTGCATTGCAGAAGGACAGAGTTCCAGTGTCCAAAGCTGGAACAACTCAAACACAGGATAAATAATTATGACATTGGATTATAACCCAAAGAAATATCCATGAGTTCATGGATTGGTATAAGTTCATTGGTATAAGTAAATGCATGAGTAAGAAAGTAAATTGGGGGGAGGGATTGTCTTTGTTTCAGAAGAATTCTAATTAATAAAGAAAACAGAAATGTATAAATCACTATTGGTTTCCACAGCAATAACTTCTTCTGGCAAGAATGTTCCAATGGATGCTAAAATTAGGGCTACAAATTTCAGCAGAAACACATAATTATATAGTCTACCCTCAAATATTTAGTAATTACAAAAAGAAAAATAACTGTACAATAGGGAACCCTGGCTAGACTGTAAAGTTTAAGCAGTTACTTTAAACAAGTGATTAAAGTTAAAATCACGACTAATAAGACACATCAACCCTATAAACTCCTAACATGACGTAGTGAGAAGAGGATATCACCTCTATGGTATTCTTTCCAAGAACATACAACTTCAATTTAACTGTAAGAATTGAAGAACATATGACAAACCAAAAACCAAAAAAACAAAAAGCAAAACCTCTCCAGCACTCTTTAAAGGTCTTCAGGTCTTAGACAATGAAAAAAAACTGAGGAAAGAATTGTCACAGATTGGAGGAGACTAAGAAGGAGAAGATTTAACAATAGGGGCTATAGTGTCCAATGCGATGCTATTCTTGGGTGTCACTTTAGCATGGACTGTACAGAAATTTCTGAATGTCAAACAGTAGAGGAGGACAAAATATACAAGGGCAATGATAAATATTAGAAATATTTGGACCTATTTCATAGACAATTTTTTTGGTTAGTGTAGGTCTAATCAAGAGGATACATCTTGACAATCAGTTCATCAGTTTTAGTTAGGTACTTGTGTCTTGCCCCCTTAAATAATCGATTATTTTATCCTTTTCAAAGTGTAGATTTATACAATGTATAGACTTCATTTTGTTGATCAGTATTCAAGGACGTGTGCACTGCTTAGAATCACTCTGTATTGTAATCCCAAATATTGAGTGTAGTTATCCAAGTATTGTAATCCTTTTTTCAGTCTTCCTCATAATCCAGAAAGTTATATTTATAATCCCATTGAGACATTATTGGAATCCCAGCAAGTCAGTTACAATCTACCACCTCTAATGCAATCCATGATGAGAGGAAAGACACCAAGACATATTCCAAGTTAAGGGCAGCCAAAGTGTCCTAAATCCAATCCCAATGAGGATGTGTGGACAAAAGCCTTGATCCTAGGCCTGTCCCAGAATTCATTATCTTGTGAAGAAGGGGGTCACTGGAGGATGAGTGACAGTGAGGATGGCAGGACTTACGTGAGTAACTTAAGCTGACTAGTCAGGTAGGGAGAAAAGCACCTTTGCAATATGCAGAGATAAAAAGAAAGTAATAAGAAGTAAGGAGTAATAAAACCCAAAATGTGTAAATTTTGTTGTAAAAAAAGAGAGGGAAAAAAAAGTGCTCTAAAGGATACAACCGCAAGTGTGTTTAGGGGTGTTAAATAGCTGACCATATTAATGTTTTTGGTTGGATCATTGAACACAACTGTTTGCAGTCTCACTGTTTGAATGTCCACTTTGTATGCTTTGATACTTGAGCAACTATCTCTAAGATGATGATGTGTAATCTATTAACTGGTGATTTCTTACTGTTTTTTTTTTTTGTAGTTCTGTATTACTTGTACCCTTACACCACTTCATTTTGTTTTGTTTTTTCTCTTTTTCCTTTTAAATAAAATTTAAAAAATGCAGAGATAAGGATATGTAGAAGGATCAATTTGTGTAATTCAATTAAGATAGCAACTGAATTGTTTTAGGAAGCTGTTGCTTCAGTTTCTGATATGTAAACTTCTGTGCCCTGGGGAGTGCACATATCACCTCTTTACGTTCAGGCTTATAGCCAGCTGACATTCCTGGAGCTGACTGGCTCTACCATCCCACTGTGCCCATACCTTCTATAGAGAACACTGTGCAGGAAACAGGAGACTGTCTGATGGCCTTAAAGATTACATACTAGTACTTGACTGTCCGTATTTATAATGCTTAGAGCCAACTGAAGAGAGAAAGAAATACCATAGCCAGCTCTGTACCAGCAGTATAAGGAAGTAAGTCTCCTTATAATCAAAGTTGCAGCAGTTGTTCTGCATTCAAGCGGAGTCACTCAAAGGTCTCCCCACAACTCTTGATAAGGAAATGATTAGTCTACCCTAAACTAAGGCATTTCATTTTGATTCTGTAAGAATCTTAGATTTGCCCAGTGGGATCCTCAGGAGTTGTCTCCGTGTTCTATAATATGACCTAGATTGCTTCAGTGCTTACTCAGATTCTGGTCATTATGAGATGTTCCAGGTTTACCCTACATACTTTTTTTCTTCTAGTTCTGGACTCAGTTTTTAGATGTCCTGGTTTCTTTTAATAGGGTATGGAGTTTTGAAACTAAGAGCTAAGCACTTAGTCTGGTCACTGGGGTGTAAATGCTTCCAGATTTTTTCATGATTTTTGTATGATAACTCTAATTACAATTGCAATTCTACAGACTTTCTTCTATTTCATGCTTGTTCCTCCCTTCTCCCAGAGTCATCAAAAGAATCTTGGAATACAGTGCTTTTCTAGAAGTTTTTGTGTCTGGGACATTTTGGCACGCATAAGGGATAACTTTCCAGAGTGACTGGATGTCCAGTTGTAGGACACTAAGCACTTATACACTGGGAGGCATATATTCCTGATGTCTTATATTCTGATACTTAAAAACATTATTTGTGATTAAGAATACTTGACTGGAAAAAAACCAAACAAAATGGTACTTGACATGATCCTTTACCACAGGGTTTTTTTTTTTTTCATTTTTATTGGTACTGGGGATCGAACTCACGACCACCTGCTTGCAAGGCAGGTGCTTATGTCGCTGAGCAAAACCCCCAGCCCCTACCACATGGTTTTAAGAGCAGTTTTCGTTAGTGTCTCTTTTCATATATTCAGTGTTCCAGTTT